CAGTCAATGTACTTTTCTTCTATTCGTGCAAAGCGAGAAAGCTTGTCTCCACGAGGCAGTCAAATAATTCGAGCGAAAGCATGACATCCTTACCCAGGATGTAAAATTCACAACTGTTTTGAGCGTGGTTAGAGGCAATAATAGTCAGATACTGGAATATATAGCCAATAAACTGAACAATAAAATGGAAGGGCTTAATTATACGCTGCTTTCTCTAGACCCACGAGTACAAGAGTTTGTACCCGACAGTCGTATGATCATTGGCTTTTCCAGTGACTCATTCCAATTCTCCTAGTCCGAGGGAACTTGAACAAAGTGGCCCTTTAACTCTTACAGTTGTTGGGTAAGCAACAAATTCCAAAAATGATAATTATGAGTTCCTCGGTAATTTTGGATTTCAATGAGCCGGCGCACTGAGGAAGTTTTTTTGGTGAAGTCTTTTGCGAGATGTTCTTTGTTACAAATGTTACAGCTCAATCTTTTGGAGAAGAGTATGTTTTTGGAAGCGTAAAAAAAAGTAGAGCTAGAATTTGAGAAGTACGGTTTTGGTACTCAGTCTCAAGCTCCAACGTTTTCGTCGCGTACAGCATTCCCTCTCCATCATAATACGTATACCGTGCCAACAAAAAAGTTGTCTAGCTGTACTTTTTTGTACGCTCCCGAACATGCTATTCTCCGAATGATTGAGGTGTAACCCCCACCATCCCCCAACAGGCAATCACTAACTGTTCCTAATCTTGACATAAACTCATTCTTTCCATTTTTTGCAAATAAAGCTTAATGATTTTAATATACGAGTTGAAGAACAACAAACTGTACACGATTTTGAAAAGTAAAAGATGTGTGACTGTCAAAAGCACACAGGGTAAAAAATAAATGTGAGTAATCGGTTCAAAAAGTGTATTAGTACTAGTTTTCCCAAAGCCAATCTTCTAACCGTTCCAAAAACTTTTCTCTATCGTTTTTGCTAATCAATGAAACCAGCTCGAAATAAGATTTAGCCCGGAAAAAAAAAAAGAAATGAATACCACATGCTAAAAGTTTCACCTTATAAGTATTCTAATTATTTTCAGTCAATGCTACCAAATGCTCTTCAAAAACAAAGCAGGCACGGTGTCTTACTGAAAATAATTAAAATAAAAAAAGTAGCCCCACATTACAGTTAATATTCAAACCAAATTTAGCGCTGACAGTTAAAAAAACTAGCTAGCTGTCCTATATGATTCGCCATCCTTAACTAGTAAATCTTCCAATGAAAACCCGGCTGAAAAGTGCGATACCAAGCAGAAGACTGATTTTAATTGAAAAAATTGTCACTTATCACCTACATTGACGTCGACTCAGCGTGCAAGGAACAACAGTCGATTCCACTAACAAATCTAAGTTTGATAAACGCAAGTGACACTAACTAACTAGACCGCTGAAAAGGTTAAAAAACATTCGTTATCCCTCCGATACCTCCAACATTGTAGTACATCAATCATTACTTATATTCTCTTATTTGTACCGTAACAAGAAAGATTAAAAGATTTTCATTTTTATTATCCTTGTAATCTGATCGGGGTGGTAACAAAGCTACGATTATGTACTCAACCTACTGAAAGAACAGGTTACGCATCAGTAATTCAGTGACACATTTCTGAGTGAATGTTAAAAAAAATTTTCTGTCATTTCACACGGGCACTCCACAGCTGCTTTTGAACAGAAAAATTAACGAAAAAAACAGAAAAAAAAAAAGCTTTATCCTATTTCCAAATAGCAGCGTGCTAGCGATAACCGGGTGCAGTTTAGACAGCATCCGGTTATCACTAGTACGCTGCTATTTGGAGCAAAAAAACCTATTCAATTCGCTTTTTTTCCAATTTTCACTATGTACAACAGCTTTCTTTTTTCTTTTCACTACTAATAATCTAGCAATTATACAGCAGGATAACTTTTGAGACCCATCCTGAAACCAAAAAAAAAAAAAAAAAAAATCACAGCAATCATACAATTTTCAACATCTTTTTTTCTTAGTGCTGGTACTGTCGGAATACGGTGACTGTATAGCTACAGCCTACTTTATGAGAGAATAATCAGAAGAGATAAGATGATAATTTCAAATTGTTCAACTGTAAATACAGAGAAATTCTCTTGTAAAAACTCATTATTTTGGTGCCGTTTTCCAGTAGGTTCCAGTATTCCAATCTCAGTAGATAATATTTTGATTGGATTATTTCTTGTATATTAACAGAAGTAAAGCCTAGAAGAGTAGTGTTTATCGGCTTTAACTTGAGAATGCCAGAAACTAAACCTACCAAAAAAAAAGATCATTTAGCTAAAAATTTACCAGCAGATAAATACTGTGCGTGAGGATTTTATGCGATAGTAGTAAAGCGATTTCATCAACTACTTCGCAATTCTTGTTAAGATGCTTACAGTTTGGTTTCAAAACTGTTCTATACTTCGGTCCCATCATACCACTGTGTTGTTCGTACTGTAACAAAATAAGGAAGCTCCTAAAGCCAATACAACCAGAAGGCACAACTACACTAGCACACCTAAACGTTCTTTGGCACAGTATTCCAATAATTAAAAAGGCTCACCAAGAAATGAGTATTTCCAGTAAATGAAATTTTTTGCAACTACATCACGCTCTCGCATAAGATATAGAATTGCGCAGAAATTTGACAAACAACTTGAAGAAATTTTCGACTTCTCCTCATCCAACTAGAATATTTTGGCAGTTCTTCTCAAACAATTAATGATCGTAGACTCACTGCGGGATGAACATCACACACAAATCAAAACTGTTACTGAACTATAACACGATACAACCACATCAAGCCCAGCCGCTAAAAGTCAAAAGCTCTTCCTTTGTTACTAGCATCGGTGAGCAGAAAGAAAGCACTAGGGAATGAAGGTTTGCAAATTAGAACAAAGTAATTAGTGACAGAAAACGTCTGGACATTTTTGAAACGGTTTAACGCAAAAATCGAGCTATAGCTCAAAAATTGGAATTATGCCAATAATTATGCATTCCCAAGTTGAGGGGTCTTCTGCAATGGAATGGAATACTTCATACATATGGTTGTTTGCCCTGAGATACTTTCAAAAGTATAAAGTTTATAATCGGCGGGCTAAATCTCTGCGTACACGAGTTTGACCACACTCCCCCCCTCCTCCCAAAGAGATGATCGCTGTACCATAGATGGACGCATACAGTTAAAACGGCCGGACACCAATAAAGTGATTGAAACTATGAAACAAACTGAGACTTTTATATAAGAACAGATTGGAGTTTAGAATATTTTGCTCGAATGTTAAAATGAAAAGAAAATAAAATAACCGTTTAAATTAGCAACCGTAAAATCCAAACCATTTTCTTCCCCTTCATACGTCCCTGAATCAGCATTAAACGATTGTCGCTACGACTATTGACTGTAGCACGGAAGAGCGGAACTTTAGCTTACTTGAAGCAAAAGATTTTCGCAACAAACACTGCTCAGAAAATTGTAACCTTATCAACCAAATTATCAGTAGCAACAGTCTTATTGGCAAATGGCCAAGGCAACATGTGCTCAGTTGCTAATATAAGGCGGGAAGCTGATGTCCAGCCGGCGGGGTTCCAGTTGATTGATGTGGACAGTTTCGTTTAATTTTTTGCTCGGTGTCTAGTTGGCTTTTACTTTCCAGCAGCAACAATGTTTTTAGATTCTGATTTTTTTATTTGTTTTTTCAGAAAACCATTGCAAAAGGATTAAAATTTTTTGTGTTGTAAAGTCAAGCGTTTCATAACTATTCACTGGTTAACAGTTTATCAATATTTACCATTTGTAAATAACTGTATTGAAAAGGTTGAAGGAGTCTGTTTTAGATTATTACAAACTAGCAGAAAAAAAGAAATAGACCTACTGTTAACGGATTTACTTTTCTGTCTGAATATTTCAAATTCTGAACTGTACCATTTGAAACTTTCTGCTGAAGCCGATTGATTTGGGTTTCAAAGAAGCCTGTGATGCTCGCATTTTTAACTTATTCGTAAAATTTTTTTCATATTCGTTTTCGTCAACTCCAGATCTATATTTTGCTTGCAGCAGTAAAATGTATGGCTCTAATGAGCCGTCAACGAGCAGAAGCTATGGAACACCAATGTACGTAGCGCCTCCTGCCCAAAGACCAACACGACGCACGGGCGTTGATATTGCATTGGAATCCGGACTTGAATGGCGTGTCTTCAAGATTGAAAATTCGGGACAAGAAATATACTTCCGGTATTCAGTTTACTTCTCACTTTTATTGTCGACATTGCGTGCAGAAGTGCTACCCTAGTGCATTTATTTCACCTTGTGGCTGCATCGAGAGTTTAATTTTCACCTTACAAAGTAATCCCCTTTGTCAAATTGGGAGGTTTTTGAAGTTCACGTAAAAAGTGCAGTCTTTTAAGCACAGAAACTGTTGATCGAGAATTATTTTTATTTTCTGAGCTCCTTCAAATTTTCTCACTTTTCGCTTTTCGTGAACTCAGGTAACGGGCAGTTCAAAAAGGCACTAATCCAGGTGGGGTAACTGACCTTTTTTTTTCTTTTTTTGGTTTTCCCTAGGCGTCTGAAGCCTCAGAAGTCTTACCATGGTCATTTTATCCGTAAAGCTTCTTCCTTTACGTTTTCCAACCTTTGTTGCTTTGTAGCAGCGTCCAGGCGTCTTTGCCGTTTGAAGTAGTATTTTTGATTTTGGCAAATCCGAGCATCTAACAGTAGAAGTGACGTCTTTTGTCTCACTAGTTACGCAGACTGATTCATTTGCAGATTATGTTATTTTAAGTAATTCAGTGTTCTTTTCTAGCAGTGTTAAACTGTCCATTTGTCTGCATTGTCAAAATCAGTTCGCTTTTTGTTCCTGAGTACTAACTTTTCAAAACTTGTTGTTGAAGACTAAAAAACTGAGGAAAAACTGATGGCCAGCCGCTGCAATTTGAGCGATACAGCCATATTCGCTTAATTCCATTTTTCTCATTTACTTACAACTTTAATTGACGAATCTTAGGATTGGGGACAAAGTCCATCATGGGAGCTTGATAGTTTTACATTTGTATTTGGAGACCGTATTTGAACAATTTGAGCAAATGCCGCTTTTTCAGCAGAAAGTTGGTCAGTGCTCTTATTAGCATCAGTTGCATTCCTTCCATAAGCTTGCAGGATATTTAGTGACACAAACCTGATATTAGGCATATTTTACTTGACAAGAGGATTTATCGAAAAATTATGGATGCTTTTGTCAAAAATCCGTGTTCAGTACGTGTCGTGGCTAAAAGGCATCTTCCTAAAATAAGGGATTATTACGGTAATAATCCTCCTACATTCCCAATAAGGGCCTTTCTAGTAATATGATATTTTTACTATGGGTCGTAATTTAGCCCTTTCTCGCCACAGTACCGACCAATAGACTGTAACATTTATTGATCTGAGACCCCCGACTTTTATGTCTCTGATCCCACGCAGCTTAACGATTTATGCACCCCTCGGGTAATACCTTCTTACTATGTTGGAGCCCTTTCTTCAATGCAACCTTTTATTTCTACTTCACCTTTATAATTTACGAACAGAAATTCTGGTTAACACCAAATCACACTCAGTAATATACTAAGAAGAGCAATATAAATTATAAATGAAAACAACTTAAGATCAATTAAACAGATCAAAAGCTGCCTACTGGGTACGTATTGACAGAAAACAGTAATATAAACTGACGTAAACAGTCGCAGATGAGCAATCAGTGTTGAATGGAAGCACGATTTGAACTCTAATAACAGCAACACTGAACTGTTTCCTAATTACTGTCTCTTTTAAACCTCGCTTTCTTTTCCCCTCAGGCTTTCAGCCTGCAACTCTTCCAGGGGCTTCCCTTCATGGAGCTACTATTGTAGCTACCGTCCTGTTTTTCCCAACAGTGCCTTTCGCGAGCGGTCGACACAGTATGCACAAATCGTCTCTTTTTTTCTTTTCAAGAAATTAATGGGATGCACTGTATGTTGAAAACTGACAGAAGTTGTCAGAAGAGAAGACTAAAAAAGATAGCTTTTTTTTAGTTCGATGGTCCCACCTTATTGGTTGTAATGAAGCAGAACCAAATTTATCATGATTAGAATCCATTGGCTTAACTGGTTGAGAGCAAATTGAGGGACACCAAACTGAAAGAGCTTCAAAAAGAATTTTGTCAATTAGTCATTTCTTAATTTAGATTGAAAACTATTTTTATGGGAGTTGTGGAGTCAAAACCCTGATTTTCGAGAATTGTTTTTTTTACAGGCCTCCTGACTATTCTGAGAGGGTAGCAAAGCTTGCCAGAAGAGTAGATTGGAGGAAGCTAATCGGAGCAGATGCGACGTACGACAATCCTAGTATGTGTGAACGTAATTTGGACGAAGACGAGTACTCTGACACTGAGTCGGTGGCCCCTGTGGAGTTGGGTATTGAAGATCGTCAACCACCTGATGCAGGCCCGTGGCATATGGTTGCAAGGAATCTTTTGTAAGCCGTGGCATAAAATTAATATGTTATGAAATTTTTTTTATCAAGATAATTATGGTAGCTTATAGTGAGGCTCTACAGCAAGTGAATTTATTGACTGATACGCTGAAGGTTTTGAAACTACCTTATTTGGAGGCATTAACTGTTGCTGATAGTTTTGAAATGCAACATAATATGCAGGAAGTAATACAACATTCGAAGCATTTTCAGTGGGTAACGAAGCGCAAGGTTCTCGTCATTCTTTTTCATTTTTTGTTTTGTCCTCTATTCTCCAAGCGTCAGGATTGAATGCCCTGTTTAGGCTTTAACTGAGGCAGCCAGCGTCTTAGAGCAGTCGCAAAAATGTCGCTCTAAAGGGTCCGTTGCTGAAACAGAGAAGGAAATGTTCTTTGACGAGTTGAAAAAGGTTCGAGAGAATTGGCGAGTGAGAAAGACGGGCGATTTTGTATATGGCGACATTGGCTACAGCATTTGTAAAATTTATAAAGGATTATGTCTTTTTTCAATTTATGAATAACTGAGAACTAATTTACCATTGTTTTTTAGTTCTGCTGCTTCATTTGGCTTACTTTTATCAAATTTTTTACAGTTGGTAACAAATACGACCAGAAAGAGATGTTTGACATACTACGGCGTTCTCGTTCAGCTATTACAGATGTTCAGGGTGTTCAAAGGCAATCATGCCTTCAAGTACGTATTCCTGCAGACCTGGTTCGGCGATCTACGCTAGCTGTTTCAATTGAAAGCGGTCAGTGCTATTCTGTACTTCATATGGTTTTTAAATAAAGACTGCAGACCGCTATTCAGTAATTTTTTGATCGAGTGTGCCACTTTTGCAGATGATATTGACTCACAGAAAGATCTGTTTGCTCTTCCAGAAAACGACTTGGATTATGCTAAAATAGATTTGGAAAAAGCGAAGGAAATTTATTGGGAGAAAGCACTGCAGTGGGGACAAGAAAGCCTTATTTGCAGGGATATATTTAGAAAAGTGAATTATAGATTTATTCCAAAGTCTTTTTGCTTTGCAGGGTGTATTTGTTCATGGATGTATTTTCCTTACATTTTTTTCTAATAATTATTTTATCGCCGGGTCGTTACTGTTCCAAAACTTTCAGCTATGTAATGATGCAGTTCTTTTGAAAGGCAGGCTGGCTGTTGTACGAGGAAATGTGCTGATAGTTTCTCTGTTTGATGATCTTCTTTTACGTATTGAACTAAGGAATTATCCTTTTGAAGAGGGTTAAGCGACTGACTTTTACAACCTTTTTCATCATTAAGTCAAAGTTCAGATTTGCATACGTTAACCATGAACTGCATATTTTTAACGCGATATCTTTTTTCCAGGCAAACTCCCTGTTGTTGGAGATCCTTATTTAAACAGATCGCTTAGACAACTTTTTGTTCTGGACCAGTGCACTCGCTGGTTGAGGCATCAGAGTTTCGTTACAATGCCGTTGACGCAGTTGCATGAATCTTTGGACTTGAGGGGGCCGGATGCGATGGCCAAAAATGAGGTTTTTACGAAAAGCTTCCTATTATTTGATACAATCTTGCCAAGGAAATTGAAAGTAGGGAATAGGAAAATCATATGAAAGTAACGTTTTCAGATAGAAGCGCGATTAGGAAAGAGAAAAGATATATTGATTCGATTCATTGATCTAGCTGCTCATTATGTTCTGCAGAGTCGGGCGGCTTTGGCTTTGGAGAAATTTATCTTACGCGTTAGTGATCCACAGGTAAATTTAGTTAAATCTATCTAATAAAATGATCTTTGCCTAACTGGTTAGAAGAGCGTCATCTTGATTTTTTGTTCAGGTAACATGGAAATGGCTACGTAGTACCCCGTTTCAGTCATCTATCATTTTAACTGCTGTTAACCGTAATTACGATCATCCGGGAAAGTTAGTTTTCCTCGCTTTTTTAAAAAAAATCCGTTCAAAATGCTTTTGCTTTACCGTTTTAATTTAGGTTCACCTTTTACATCCGGATAGATGCGGATTCGTTTTACATAACCACCAAAGAAGGGCAACGTATGGATTGTTGGCGAGACGAAAATATGTTGATCAGCGGGGTGGAAGTGTTGGTACGAAAGCTCATTTTAGCTGGGATTTTGGTAATCTGATATTGGCTATAAAACTTTAAAATTGTTTTAGGTATGTAATTTTATGTTAAACTCCGTGGCTCATGTAGCAACCAAATTGTGGCAGTGGCAAGTACTTCATGCAAATTTGAATGCTATTGATGCTGATGCCAATCCTAGACCGACATTGTATATGTGCAACCAAAGCGCTACCAGGTACCAAGAGAATCCTACTGAAGTACTTTCAACGTGTTTACCTTTCTACCAAATCCTTTATTTCAATATGTTTATGTACTGTTCAATGTTTTAGGTCATTGTTCATCGAGTTCCGACCTAAAAACGTCCCAATCGTTAGAGTCCGGAAGTGTAAGCCTGAAAAGTTGGAAAAAATAGAATCTCCAGAGGAGTTTTTAACGTTAAATTACAACCGACTGATCGGTTCTTCTCTGTGTCGGAAAATAGATAACCTATGTTCCATGTTGGAGAACTGAAATACTTGCTGTTCGTTATCATAGCATGGAATTTTGGATACTGTAGTACTAATTTAATAGTTCATTTAATATTTTTTTGCATTGCACTTTGCTAGTCGTGACCTTTTTTGAGAGTGGCACGGGTCGCATAAGTTTTTAAAATAAAGTCTTCTTTGTGGGACTTAAACAATCCTATCAACACCGCGAAAGATGCTATACCAACATTGTTCGCCAATCCCAGCTAACAACAGTAGTTAATTCAAGAATGGTAAGATTGTGGGCGCTGCGAATTAGCGACGATGATGGATGAAAAAATAATTGTATTCAGGTGCAGGCGGCTTCTTACTCCACTAACAGCTGGCTGAATTAGAAGTGCAAAAGGTCCTGGCAGTTTCAGAACCAGTTTCCGAATGCCATAACTCAGTGGTGCAGCAGACCTCACCAATCTACTCCTAGTGGACTCACACTCTCAGAAGTCTATATGAGATCCTCTCTAAGTCGTGGCGGACTCACCAAAACCGCTCTAGCCCTTCAACTAGCTCCAGTTTTCTGATTTCATGGTCCCCGCATCCCTAAAACGAGATGAGCCAGAGGACAGAGAGCATAACAAGGTTTAAAACGCACTAATCCTCAGAACTTTGTCGTATTATCAACACCACGAAAAACTCAAACAACCCGGAATAAAGCGAAGAAGCGCCTTAATAGAGGTTATAGAAATCGAATTGTTTCAAAACCCTTCCTCCCATAAAACCTCCTCCAAGTCTTTTTATTGGAAGTCCTCAAAACTAGCAGCTTGAAAATCAAACTTAGAATTGTTCTTCTGAAAGTAATTGCAGCACATTAATGCTTCTTAATTTCTTCAATGTAAATTCTACCGCAAAGCCTTCAACCCAAAAATTTCCAAGGACTTTCCACTAAGCCCTTTAAACATAAACAAACAAAATGGATGTAAGTACATAAACAGCCACTTCATGTATTTCAAAATGTCGACAAAATCTAATTACAAAGAGCACAATTTAATACAGTCATTAAGCAGCAATTATGAAACTGCAAAATATATGACTTTTCTGGCGAAGCGTATCTAATTGATTATATATTACAGATATATTATGAAACTGATGGCTCTGCACCACTGTCCAGTTGATGATTGGGTGAAGCCCGACCACTGTTTATAGAGCTTGGAGATGGGGATGCACAAGAAGAAACCTGAAACTCGCTTCACAAATTGTTTTCCACTTAACTCTTCAAATCAAAATAGTCAGAATAAACGAGTACTTCTAAATATTTCTGTATGGCGTCGAAAGCTGCAGAGAGCCTCGATACTTGTTCAGCAACTGTGTACTCCGTTTTCGAAACCGGTTGCGTAGCGCGATCCAAAAGATCTTCAACGGAATCGGGGAGACGGCCTTGATGAGTACTCCTTAAAAAAGGGAAGAAAAATGGAACCCGTATTCAAGAACACCAAAAGAGGAGAAAACGGAGAAGACGTTTTAGTTTCACCTGATGAGATCGATACTCCTATAACATTTTAAAGCTAATTGGTCAACTGCCTTCTGTACGCCGATTGCTTCAACCTAGAAATATTTGTTGATGCAATAAGACAATTTCCACAACACGAGTACTATGTACAGCTGTAATTCGTATTCTATGAAAGACAGCTTACAGAAGTGTCCGCATTCTTTTCTGCAAGTTTCAACCGGTTCAAATCTTCTGTCACACCTTTTGAGTAGGTTGCTAAAACGGAACGTGAGGCAGATGAGTTTTCTTCACATAAGTTATCTTGCGATCTATTGTGTCGAGAGCGCGTCAGATTGGAAGTTAGCTAAAAAGTTGCTCAAAAAATACGACTCGCTTTTGCGCAAAAAAATTCTGACGCTCATGCACACAACGCTCCTATCAAATCATAACATTAAAAACCAAGGCACAAGATGATAGCCTGGGTTGTATTACCATTAATTTTTCAAAACTAAATTTCAAAATAAGCCTGCCTACTCTCCTATATGTTAGGTACTAAAAACTTTTCGAAGAGGATTTAAACAAAAAGTTAACTCTTTTTTAACTTCAAAGGAGCACAAAATCAGCGGTAAAAAAAAAGCAGCTTTTAAGTACCGGCGCTTTCAAATGCATTGGCGTGCTGCCCTGATGGAAAGAAATAGAACGATTTGCCGTAAACTGTTCACTCCTGAAACAACGTAATTAAACGGTTGAGAAAAAAATATAGGTATCACTATACTGAACCAAAGCAGATACAACAAAAATGTTGTATATATTTTAATTATGAAAGAAACACGTGTTTCATCATCCCACATCAGACTGCATACAGTTTCCACTCAATTTCTCAGTTCCCACACATACTGGCCAAAACTCCCATCCT